ATATGTGCTTGAAATTAAGGTGGGTTATATTCACAGGTGCAGTTTGCTCTTGTGAACCTGTTTTCATTTTCTTCAGCTTCAACCTCCACTTACGTCTGACTAATTGGTGGAGTGTTCCACAGTCAGCCTCTGGCCTGGTTCAGTGCTGATTTTGAGATTCCCCAGTTTCCTCCCTTACATGTAATCACATTAATTTCTGTGTATTTCATCTGGAGAAGCATATTCACCTTTTGTGTTGTTGAATAAAAGGTATTAGTTATGACCAAAAGCCTCAACTTAAGAAATGCTTTTCCCTCAATTCGATGAAGAGTCTCACTGCTCGTCCAGAAAGAATCCACTGGCACTACAGGCTCATGCTCTCTGACCTTGTCTTACAGAGTGCCCACACTGTTGATTAGCAATGCAAACCTCTCAGACCCTAGGAGGGAAACCACATAAAGATCTCATTCAAAGTCTATTACAGCAGCATTTTATGGTTTCTGAACATAGTTTTGTCTTCCTGTTTTAGACATTAAATCTTGGCACTATGATTGAAGTATTAAAAAAAAAAGGAAAAGTTCTTTCTGAACAAGCATGAGGATCAGTTATATAGTTAGTAAAATTAATCTGCTGTTGTTGTTAATTACTATCGAGGTGATTCCAAATCATGGGACCCCTGTGTTTGTAGAACAGAACTGCACTCCAAAGGATTTTTAGTGACTGTGACCTTTCAGAAGCAGTTTATCAGGGCTTTTATTTTGAAATTGGATCCTTGCTGTTGGAAGTTATAATAAGTATATTCTCTTGTATTTTGTTATGTGTTATTTGCCAACTCTCAATTACTGGGCATGTATTAACTTGTTTAATGCTCACAACACAATGAAATAACTAGTTTTATTCCTTTGACAGAAGAAAAACATCAAAGCCTTAAGGTTGCTTAGAATGTGTATGTTTGTAAGTACTACAGCTTTCTACATCTCAGCGACTCCGTGGAGTTTCAAAAGGCAGTTTGAAGTAGTCATGTCATACATGCACAAGTTTCCTTGATTCTAATACTCAAATTTGTATAAAATCTTTGTAGTGTTTTATATTCAGGTCCCTCTCTCAGACCCTAAATGATAACAAACCAGATGTTTTACTTAGTAGTATGTCCTTCCATTCTGCTTTTACCACCCAAGAAGTGCTGTAAAGCCAATATTAACATGCATTATCACTAAGTGAGAAATTTACATCTTTCCTATTGTCAAGGGTTTCTTGTTGTCATAATTAATCATTTCTGGTACTCTGCCATTCTGCTTCTTTTGAATTTCTTTCTTTTTCTACACTGTCTCTCACCTCCCTTCTTAGTCTCACTTTTACTTGCGTGTTTTGGTGTATCTATTCTTTTGTTTAGTTACCATGTTTTTATTTTTACATATTTTTATTGTTTGCATTTCCTGAAGTATTTCTCAAGGGGGTATCAGAAAAAAATGTTTTTTTCAAAAATACTTGATAGTTCAATTGCCTAGCACCTAACCAAACCGAACGGATTCCAATGAAAGAAAAAAACATTAAATTGCAGTAACTAAAATGAATATGTGCATAAACCTAATGGTTTTACATTTTCTTTATTAGTGGGTCTCAAAAAGCTTGTGGAGAAAATGGAATTAAAAGACAATGGCAAAAAAGGACAATGGCATTTTTATATGAATTTTTTATACCCCCTCACATAATTATATATCTCAAATGGAATACTTTAATTTTATGCATTCAAGAAATATTCTATGGTAATTTCCTATGTCTCCGATCATGTGTAGAATGAAAGAGGTACCAGAATGAAAATGAAAATTTTTAAATTCTGCACTTGAAGAATTTAGTCAGTGGACTATGTCATGAGGGTAATTCCCCCATGGTATTACCAAGAAATTATGACCCAATGTGTTGTGTCAATTTGGGTTTGTTTTATTTAGGTTTAAATTTTTATGTATTTTTTATTAGTTTGGATTTAATACATACAACATATCATTCCATATTTCAATCACATCAAGTAGAATTGTACTGTTTGGTATATCGCTTCTATCTAGTCCTGGTTCTCAGGACTATTTACTGAACACATGACCCAATCTCATGTGGACAGATGTAGTGAAAATCCATGGACTAGCTGTGATTTTCATCCATCCTGCTCCCCTCATCAGCATCTACCATATGATTCTGTATCTCCACCTTGTCTGTAGAATCTCATTGAGCAGCAACAGAGATAGATAGGGGAGCAGATCTGGCCGACAAAGGGTTGGGCCTTTTACTACTACCTGGAACTAGAAACAGACTTGGATGTCTGAGCCTTCCCCAAACCCAGTTGTCCTCAATTAATTTGACTCACAAGGGAATGCATTGCAAGATAGTGGCTTAAAGACATGGATCAAGCACTCCCAGTACTGCCATTTACCAAATACAAGTCATACCCTCCCAAGTAAGTGACTTGACTTCTTTGTGTCTTTGTCACTCTCCCCCCATGGTGATAGCTATTGTCACTTTGTGTCCTAAAGCTTTGGCCTTTCAAAAACACACCCCAGTTTTTAGTGATGGGTCAAGTATGATGTCTTACTCAAGGAATCAAGCATTTGCCTTTCCTTTCCGACTGCTCTAGAGGCTGATTAGCTGCTTGGCCACAGCGCTGCCTTTATTGTTTCTATTTTATATATGAAAGGCCAGTGTACACAAGCTGTGTTCCTCTTGAGCAATGGGCTTGTACTGAGCCATTACCTCACCAGTGTTCTGCTTTGAGGATAAAGACAGAAAATGAGACCGGATTAGAAATGCCAGAAGTGGTCACAGACCCCAGTGAAACAAACAGCCTCCAACTCAGCCTTACAAACAGGGTTGTGGGCAATGACATAATCAGCTTTACACAGACCTAGAATACTAAAAAACCAAACACAGGGCCATGTTGACCGCAGAACTCACTCTTCTGTTTCCTTGAAAAACAGAGAATGAAGCAGCTCAAGTGGTAAAAACAGGCCCTAGCACAAATGAAAAGAAGTGTACACGTGTTAATTGAACACGAATCTAATGTTAATAGTTCAAAGTTAAAGAACAATTAAAATTGCTTTTAAATATAGTTTGTTTCTTTTTCAAATATAGTTTGAATTCTGATTTTACTAGAACAAAAAGCTGGGCTAATCCTGAGAGCAAATTCTGAGCTAAGAATTGTGGTAAGCGATATTTCTCAAAAAGTTAGTCAACAGTGATTGACATCTCTTCATTGTATCAATAAGAATACACAAAAGGTCTGTCTAGACCTACAAAGAAATATTGGTTGTAGGCCTGGGCTTTGAGCACAACACAGATGTGCTCCCACCGAGTTTAGAGCCTGCCTGGGGCCCTGCTGGCAGGAAAAGGAAAGTGATCATGTGTTTTACTCCTAACTCAGCGGGACAAGCATCAGTAGACCAGTGGAGGGTTCCATCTCAGAGCCACCCCATCCCACCAGGCCCAGTGGAAAACTGCTCCGCCAACCTTTCCGGAACTTTCCCCTTCTTCTGCGGAGCAGTGGTGAGTTCCAATGGCTGAGTGGAGGGGTGGGGGTGGGGGTTAGCAGCCCAAATACACACAACAGACTACTCTACTAAGGCTCAGTGCTTTCTCCAAATTAAATCACATCATTTAGCTACTGTCTGGCTTTCTTCACTGCTACTTCCCCAATTCTCTGCACAGAGGAGATCTTAGAACTTAAACTTTTGCTGGGTACCAATTGTGAGGCAGGTGAAGGTGAGGGCTGTAGGATGGGTGTTCATTCCTCTCATTCACACTTTGAACTTATTTTTTTTACCCTGGTGTCAGAAACTGGCAGCTCTCATAGTAGATATTGGGGAGAGAACTTGCTTTCTCCTTAGAATGTTTATTCTTCCTCTACGATGTTTGCGTTTGCACCAAAACCACAGAAATCTCTTCTCGCACCATGCTCACACATTAAAAAAATAGAAAAACGTTTTCATTATTTCCAACCACAGCAGCACTTCTGAGTAAGAGAGACCCAGGCAGGGAAATTAAAGGCTGGCGGAGATCAAAACCCGAGGGAATGCCAGAGCTAGTTATTGCAAAAAGATAAGCCAGAACCCAGATTCCCAAAATCTCAGCCCAGACCTCCTAATACCAGGGGATAGGTTTTTAAAGATAACCGCCCTTTGAATGAATTCTGTTAATTCATTAGTAAATTCGCCTTTGCGGGGTGGGGGGGGCGGGATCACAGGACATGTCCCTGTGACTAGGAAGTTGTACTATAAACGCAAGTATTTTAGGGAAAACCAGGGTTCGGCCTGCATTTTCATAATCTTCAGGACAGATGGAGATGCCTACCTTTGGGGTCAATTTAAGATGTCGTAGAAACAGAGATGCAAGTCCGTGATATGCTCCAATTTGCCGTATGACTTTATGAAAATCACTTTCTTCTATGGATCTCATTGTCCTAACCTATAAAACATATTGTGATGGCTCTCGAAGAGAGATATGAACACAAGATTTTGAGAACGAAGGAAATAAGAGGAAAAAGGAGCAAAGGAGAGGAAGAAAGCCGAATAGCACAGGCAGGCAGAGGAGCGTGGAGGGGGGGGCGGGAAGGCCCATAGAAAATTCATTTTAAGTAGACTCTAAAATAGAAGTTTGGCGGGCGTTCTTGGAGTCCTTGTTTTTCGCCTCTCTGCGAGGCAGAGTTTGTGTTGTGTAATAAACGTGGATTGAAGGAGTGCACGGGTAGTGTAAATACGCCCAGGGGAAACCAGGAGGAGCCAGCGCAGCGGCCGCGCCACGGTCCGCGCCGCGCGGTCCCCCCCCGCCTGCCACTGGGCAGCCCGGTCCCTGCCCGCCCGGGACGCGCGACCGGCAGAGCCGCCGGGGGCGTGGGAGGCGCCCCGGCCCGACGGGGCGGGGCCGCTTTAAAGCGCAGCGCCCACGGCCGGGCGTCTCAGTCCCGGAGAGAGCGGAGCGAGCGCGAGCATCCCGCGTCCAGCCTGGATCCGACCGCGCTGCCCGCCGGACTCAGACCCGCACTGTCGCCGGCGGCAGGGCCGAGAGCATCAGTCCTTGTCAGAGCTGCTCTAGGAGCGCTGCCTCACCTCGGGGCCGGGCGCCCGCGGACCAACTCCCCGCTTCTGCACCTGCCCCCCAGGAGCCTGTGCTGCCATGGCCAACGCGGGGCTGCAGCTGCTGGGCTTCATCCTGGCCTTCCTGGGCTGGATTGGCGCCATCGTCAGCGTCGCGCTGCCCCAGTGGAAGATTCACTCCTACGCCGGCGACAACATCGTGACCGCTCAAGCCATGTACGAGGGGCTGTGGATGTCCTGCGTGTCCCAGAGCACTGGGCAGATCCAGTGCAAAGTTTTCGACTCCTTGCTGAACTTGCCCAGTAAGTGCGCCCCCCCCCCCCAACCCCACCTCCACAACGCAGAAACCCCCTCAATCCCGTGTCCAGGCTACACTGGTGTGCCTTGGACGGATTCTGCAGTGGAGTGTGCGATTATGTGACTCCCCGTCAATTGATCACATGCTTTGTGGTGAGAAAACAGGGAAGACACTGGCTTTGGAGAAGGGGGGCCGAGGCCTGAACCCCTAGTTTGGCCTCAAGGCCTCTGGGGTCAGTTCTCCCCCTCTAGGTGTGGCGTCCTCCTTTCATCCTCTGAGGACCCCAGGAGATTGAGAGCCTGAAGGGCAAACTCCAAGTGCAACTCAGGCTGGGCGTTGTGTGTAAAAGAAAGAGCAGTAGGTTGCGAGAGAGAAGAGCGTACCTTGAAATGTTGGGAGCTGCAAGTTTGTATAATTAGATGATCCCAAAATATTCATGGTAATTGAAAAACGAACAAGCTCTAAACCATTTTCAAAAGTTATTTTTCCCATGACTTTTCATAGTAAAAAGTCACATTCTACTGGCTGGACCCCATCTTCATTTCTCCCACTTACTCTTGTGGGTTATTAACTTGATTCTGCTCCTGATTTCTAAAATCCAGGAAGGGTGGGCACACCCCTATGCATCCTCTTCCAAGCTTGAGGAAGCCTCGTTCCCCCAAAACGTTTACTTTTAAGCAAGGAGGTGGGGCATTTTTAATTTAGAAAGAGAAGGTGGATAGCAGGTGGAAACAAGGAAAGGTCCTCTCGCACTTCTCTTTGAAAGGCTGAATGATGGTGCTGAAGCAAAATGGAGCACAGGAGACACAGGTGGGGAAGGCAAAGGTCAGCCAGAGGAGGAAGGAGGAAGGCAGTGAGAGATGAGGGGAGCAGCTGCTTTCCAAACTTTCTTTCCCCCATGAAGGGATTTCTCTGGTGGGGTTTCTCTTCTCACCTCTGTCGATCCGGGAAAGGCTACATAAAGTGCCATATCTGAGGGTGATGTGGAGAAGGATCACAAAATTTAAAACATTTTTTTCCCCATTTTAAGACCACATTTTTGTGTATGCCAGTTCTAGAAAGTCATTAAATTCCTACTTAATTAGGTAATGGTTTTTCACGCACTGAGTATCTGTTATGGTCCTTAATTAACTTGAAAAGTGTCCTTGGTCTTTGCTTATGTAAACAAGCAGTGCCCTCTCTGCCACTGGCAGCTCCCTGTGTCCAAAGGGGGATGTGAGCCTCAAACTCCCCTGCAGGTGAGCCTGCAGGACAACTGCTCTTAAGTGTGTGTCCATGTCCTACAGAGGAGCACCTTTCAATCGCACAGGGGGTTTTGTAAAAGGCCATATAGTTTCAAGTTGTAAAACAGGTATTCTGACTCTAAACACCTGTGGAATTCGATCATTCTCTATGCGAGATTTTGAGTGTTGTCATTTCTGCTTTTTCAAAATATTTCATATGGGAATCCCTTAATACCAAGAAAAAGCATCTATGATTTTAGTCATTATGTGTCACTTATTGCCCTGGTGTGTTGTGTTTACTCTAACAGTGAAATAATCATAGAGTTTCCCCAGAGATGATGTCAGAGACTATACATTCTGGTACTATGTTGGGGTATTGGCAGACAGAAGGTTCGAAAAGAGATCCAGAGAAGTCTGATAGTTTTATTCCCTTGGTTAAAATTATTTACTTTCATCCAGTTTCAGAGGTTTTCCTTTAGCTTTCTAGGACCTTGTGGGGTCAGATTTATCTATATCATAAATACTCAAACAGACTGTCCCTACACATGACAATGGGTTTCATGCTTTATTTTTTCCTAATGATTAAGTTATCACAGTTTTCATTGCTTTAATGGTAGAACTATGCCACACCCCCTCCTACACATACTTTGTACTTTGGCAATTTTTTCCTCATGGGTTTGATTCCACCCCCACCCCACTTTCGTTTCCTCCAGATCAGAATACTGTTTTTATTTTGGTTAAGCCAGAACTTATCCAAGATGGGGCTAAAGGTTTTCTCACAAAACTGATTCCCAGAAGAGGGAGGTTTGACTCACAGTATCTCTCCCCTAAACCAATGAGTCACTGGATGCCTTTGGATGAAGCTCAGAGAACGTGTTGCCATTTCCTCACCTGTTCAAGTCCACCAGATGTAGCCACCTGGGGTGATGATTCATTGGCTGGTTTGGGTATAATTCTGGGATATATAGAGGTGACAAAGATGAAAAAGATATGCTTTTAGATGAAATGCTAGGCTGTAAGTTTCCTGAATGTGGACCTTCCTACTGGACCCCACTTGGTATTTTACAGAGACAGTATAACTGGGAAAAATATAAATCCCTCCGTCCTCTGTTCTAACTACCATCAGTTGTGACAAACATAGAACCTTCATAAAATGTCTGTGGGTTAGACTATACTGAAGCAGTGTGGCAAATAAGATAGAGTAGGATCCCTTTAGGTGTGGCTTAAACAACAATTTATGAAAAATATACTAGAGACACGTCTTGGGAAAACAAATATTACAGTGAATATTGTAGCTGCAATATTCTGTTTCACCTGAAGCATGTGATGTTTGCTGAGCATTTATAAGCTTACCATTTTCCTTGTTGGGATCCAATTCTCAAACTTTTGAGAAGGTACTGTGTACTCTGGGTGCTTAGTTAATTTCTTCTTGTGCTGCACTTTTATAGCTACAGCTGTCCAAAGATTAGCCTACTCTTAGAGGCTGGCTAGTGGGAGTTGTTCAAGCAGAGAATGACTAACCATATTGTAGGAATGCTGTGGGGAAGATCCAAGCACCAGACAAATGGAAGGTTAGGCTAGACTCTCTCAAAGTCTCATCTACTTCTGAGATTCTGTAATTTGTTTATAAGCTCCCCAGCCTGTTAAACTTGCTCTGCGTGAATCTACATGTGTGTAGGCGTGCATAATGAGTATTGGTTGTCCTTGAGGTTTCCCCGCACTCTCACCATGATGTCAGGCTCAATCAGGGAGACCAAATCACCGACTTGGGCAGTCTTTGGAGCATAAGCAAGTAGAGAGGCAGACACCCACTTGTGCTGCCCCAGAGGGCATTACTCCTGCTGCATGGAGGGCAGTCAGGTGGCCATGCTTAGTTCTGACTCTTGGAATGATGGAAGTTGAAACAGAAATCAAGGATTGAAATCAGAAGATCTCTGCTCTTAACCGGTTTTGAACTTTCTAGCTGTATATGTAGAGATAAGTCAACTGACCTCACTGAGCTCTATTTTCCCACCTTATAAACTAGGGCAGAGTGGGAGGAGTGGAGAGGTAAGTCCATGATTCATTCACCTATTCAACACAGGTGAGCCAAGCTTGTTTTTGGACCAAAGTGACTTGTACGTTCATTTTCATCATGGCCTCCTAAATGACTAACTTCACAGATTGAAGGAAAAGGGGGGAAACAACAGAACTTAGATTTCTTTCATTACAGTTATGAACAAATGAGACAGAAGTAATCACAAAGGGGTACATTTAGTCATGGGACAATTGCTCTAAGAAACAAAAACAGGTAGGGAAAAGCTAGGTTAAATAAGTGCTTCATAATCCCAGTCCACTTCAGCTATTGGTGTGGTGCTAGTCTTCTGGGGTCAGACCCAAGGACCACCAATAAAAGGTAATGAGCCAACAAAATGGAGATGCTGATGATGAGGATAGTGGAGAAATTTTTACCTTGGTTCAAGTGTAAGGTTTAATGGGTTAAAAAGTCATGGGAGTATAATTCTATGACTCTGGCAAGCTTATTTTATTGTGGAGAAGAGAGGATGTGTGTTCTAGTCAATCAATATTTAATTTATTTCCCCAAGATTTATTACGTAACTGCTGAGGCTATAGAAATTCTCTTTTGTTTATGGCAAGTAATATGCAGAATTATAATATGGTCAGTAAAAAGGTATCAACACTGACAGATATTTACAGGATATTCCCCAGCTTGAGTATCAAGATGTTAAAGAAAAGGGAAAAAAAAGTCCTACCTACTTGGCTCTGCTTGTCTTTCTACACTGATGTTGATTAATCTGGTATAGATCAATAATGTCTAACTTAGTTCTTGTTTTATAAGTAAAGATCTTTGTAAGTTTGTGTGTGTGTGTCTCTGTGTTTCGTTTTTAATTATAATTTTGGTCTGAAAGTATGAGAACTCCTTAGGGGGTCTTTAATCTCAAGATTATCAGTCTAGCCAAGTATAATTAAAAGACTGCCTTCTCGGTTTACTGCTGAATAGTAATGAAAAATAATAGTGTAACATTTGGACTGTTTGCTAACCAGAGGCTCGGTCGACCATTGTAGTTGTAGGGAGGAGATCTTCTATTATAGAGAGATCTGGGAACGAAAGAATCATAGAAGG